GACACATCCAAAACGTTGAACACACCACAAAGTGACTCTCTGTGTGAAAGGACATAATAATATGTATACCATGACACATCCAAAACGTTGAACACACCACAAAGTGACTCTCTGTGTGACAGGACATAATAATATGTATACCATGACACATCCAAAACGTTGAACACACCACAAAGTGACTCTCTGTGTGAAAGGACATAACAATATGTATACCATGACCCCAACATTTTAAACAGTTCAAATTTATCCCGAGGACGAACAAAAACAACAACTGACCGTTAGTTTCCTGCCCTGAGACAAAAACTGGCGCCATCATCAGCATCATCACCACAAGCAGACCCGGCTCCATCAGCCGGCTCGTAGTCCACGGCATCTTGAGTGAGGTCGTCTCCCGTCACCTTTGTGACGTCACAAATCTCTCCTGTCCGCTTGTGACCCTTCTAGTGTTACGTCACGGTATATCAACGCCAAACTCCTCTCCTAAGTAACCTCATTGACACAGCCACTCTCTGAAAAGAACAGCCATGATAATATAAATGAGGGTGATGATGACGATAATAGAATAAAGACGATAATAACAATAATAATGTTAATGACAACAATAATAATGATGATGATAATAGTAATAATAATAATAATAATAATTATAATAATGATGATAATAATAATAATAATAATAATAATAATAAAAATAATAATAGTAAGCACTGCATTCACACAGCGCATAACGATGCTCTGCAACATTCTCTGACCGCTATACAACTATCAACATACTCACAATGTTGTTCCGTGTTCAGACGTTGGGAGCAGAGCTTGAACAAAAGGAACAGAAATATGACCAATATCAGATTTTCTAACAGCTTAGCACATGTATTATTCCCAAAAGTTTGATTTCTACATTTTGTCAAAGTTTAAATTATAAATGTTGCAAAGTGCATCAATACACGTGATGTATGTAGAATTGCTAAAAGATTTAAACAGTTGTTCTTTTTGTTTGTTTCTTTGTTTGTTTCTTTCTTTGTTTGTTTGTTTGTTTGTTTGTTTGTTTGTTTGTTTGTTTGTTTCTCTCCTGTAAAATGTTCATTTTGGGCTTGGTACATTTCAACACCTTGGTGACGATATGACAATATAATTATGTAACTACTGAATCAAGCGATGAAAAATATACCTGTTTACATTTTTCAAAACTTTGAAAGCTTGAGTGTGTAAGCAAAAGGTGACCTTTGGACGATTGAGTGCTGTCAACAAAAGGTGACCTTTGGCTGTATCTCCTATCACACCAACATCCCCAGACGTTTAATGGCGTGTTACGAGAAATTATTGAGTGAGTTTTCTGAACATATTTAATCGGCCTGACTGACTCACTTTGAGTTATCGTTCCTGATTCTTCCAGCTGGCTTCTCCCGCGCAAAGATGTGCCGACAGAGGGCGTTTCGGAGATCATAATCTCAAAACAAACGGGACATTGAAGTTTGTGTATTCTGACGCGGAGAGAGACACGGTAGTCTTAAAAAGCGATTCATAAACGAGCGAACTACTCGGTGAAAAGTTTGGGGATTTCTTTTGTGTCATGTTGAACTTTAAGGTTCTCTAGACATAATATTTTGTATTTTTTTATGACGAGTCATGTCGTGATATTTCAGTGAACCTAGGTCAAAGACATACACTTAGATTCTTGTCACCAGCATAGATATTTGGTCACTTTTAAGGACAAGGGGGCTACCCCGAAAAATGCTGTTTTGAGAAAAGCGAAGGTAAAGTTTTTGGACACTTGTTCAGTTTCTTTAAAAGACAAGGAGATTTCTCTATAACCAAACAAATACACACACCAATGAAACCAAACTTCTCCTATAGGTAGGGCAATGCCCACTTCTGGTGTAGGTCAAGATTTCTGGAAAGCCCCGAAATCTGGGTTAGCCCGTTTCTCCTTAAAAGTGACCATTTATGAAAAGTGAAGGGCAGTGACAAAGTTTAACCCTCGTTCAATCCAGGGAAAAACAAGAGAGACAGACAGCAGTAAGCGAGGCAAGGAATAGTTCAGTAGAAAAACGACCAGTGGCGCCATCTGCCATCTGCCTGGCCACCTTCAGGAT